AAAGGAAAGGAAAGGAAAGGAAAGGAAAGGAAAGAAAAGAAAAGAAAAGAAAAGAAAAGAAAAGAAAAGAAAAGAAAAGAAAAGAAAAGAAAAGAAAAGAAAAGAAAAGAAAAGAAAAGAAAAGAAAAGAAAAGAAAACCCAAACAAAACAAAAAGAGGGGAGAAGCAAAGACAGATGAAAAGGACTTTTTATCTGCCATTCTGGTTGGTCAAGAGCAAAAGGCTTCATTTGTCAGCAGAGCAGAGCTGGAAACTGCCTCCAGCCTTGGGCTCCTGACCCTGGACTGGAAAGCCAACATGCAGAGTCATACAAGATGTGTAAAATACCTCATACATTTGGATTATTTTTAAGCTTCAGCAGGCTCAGCCCAGGGCTTGCAGAGCCAAGAGCCACCAGACCCTTCCAAATCCATCCCCTTGATGTCATTTATTCCTGATTTCAGATGCTCCTCGGACATCTGCTGCTCCTGGGTGAGGGAGCTCAGCGTGACCCTCTGCCACCTTCCCTTCCCACATCCCAGCAGTGCCAGCCCCTGTGCCAACAGCCTCTCGTGGAGCTGAGCAGCTCCTCTGAAGCCAACAGGACGAGGGGTTGCTGAGGCAGGAATTCACTCCCTGCTTTGAGTCTCACTCAGGGACTAAATTGGTGTCAGGCTGGCACAGGACACCGGGCAGGGCAGACAAAGCCCAACCTGCTCTGGCAAATTAAGCCAGGCTTAGTGTCCTCCCCAGGTCACCACAGGGCATCCTGTTCCCAGGCTGGCTCCCTCCAAGCTGATGGGAGGATCTGTGCCTGTCTCACACAATCCCGGAGGTTGGAAAAGCCCTCCCAGCCCATTGATCCCCCCTGTGCCCCATCCCCACCTTGTCCCTCAGCCCAGAGCACTGAGTGCCACTTCCTTGGGCACCTCCAGGGCTGGGCACTCCAAACCTCCCTGGGCAACCCCTGCCAAGGCCTGACCACCCTTTCCAACAAGAAATTCCTCCTGATGTCCAACATTCCTCCTGATGCCCAAGATGCCTCTGTACTCTGCACCCGCCAAGTGAAATCCCTGCCTCCACCTGCCCCAGAGCATCCCGCTGAATTTTGGGCATTGCAGGGGATGTTTGAGCCTTCACCCTCTTCCATGGAGCCTCTTCCATAGCCTGGGGATCCCAGGGGTGCATCAGCACAACCAAGCTCTGCCTCATCCCTTGGGTTTGTGGGAATTCCACTCGTGTCATCACACTCAGGGAAGAAGCACCAACAGTTCCCAGGGGAACTCTGCTGTTGTTTTGGGGGTAATTTTGGTTGAGAAACACTTAAAATCAACGCCAGGCAACTGTCACCTCAAGATGTAGCTCCAAAAGTGGCTCTTCCCACCCCGCCAGCCCCGATCAGAGGAGTTATTTCACCTTTCCTCCCCTCCAGAGAGCTGCAGGTAACACTGGGAAAATGTCCCAAACAGGAATGGTTTTCCCAAGCCACCCTACGTGCACAGGCAGAGCTTGGTGAGGGTGACTTGTGTTCTGGTGTTTATGAGCTTCACTTTGAAGTTCCCCTCCAAACACCCTGCTTAAAGAGCAGGGCAGGTTGTCCTCAGCTCACCCCTGCAAAAGCCCAGGGCTGTTATTATCCCCCTTTTATAGGTGGCAAACCCAAGGACAGAGGAATTAGGTGACATAGCCCCCAGCCAGGCAGTGACCCTGTGGCTCTTCTCCTGACCACAAGCCCAGGCTTCCCCTTTTTCCAGGAGAGCAGGATGAAAAAGAGCAGCAGGAATGTGCTTGGGAGCTGGTTTGGCTCTGCTGAGGCGGCAGTTTGGCCACGAGGAGCTGCCCCAAGAGCAGACAGGATTTTGTGGAAGTAAATCCAACCTCCAGCTGCTGAAGGAAGGCCTTG